CTCTTGAAATCTAAGAAGAATAACTATATATACTAACAATAGCCAAGAATCCTAATTCAATTCTAATTTGAACTTCTAATAAACTATGAACTCCTAATAATCTACTAATTCTAATCCTAATTAAAAGTCACATGCTATCCACTTGACTTTTCTAAAATTAAAACTTAGACTCCAAATAAAATTCAAACTTAATGCAAAACAAACAGCCCTAAAACTAATCATTAAAAAGAGCTCTATGCTCCCAGATCAGTTTATGCAGCTCTATCATATAATTTGGTTTCAAGAATATTTGATTTGTCCCTATGGACCCTAACAAGTAGTTTTGACAAATCATCTAGTAGAAATTGAGTGTGGGATAACTAACATAGTAGCCTCGCTTTGGAAGCATGACCATTACAAAGCCTTACCTTGGCTGTTGGTGAGTGGTGAATTTTCCAACTGCCATCTCCTTATTCCCCAGACCCTCACAAATTATCTAGGATGATAGAAAAAAGGTTGGCAAATAGTATATCTTGTGGCTTATCCATCTAACCTTAAATTATCTCATATCTTTTACTTTGCATATGATGTAATTCTAATTTCTAAGAATCATCACTTAGTCTTAATAAATGAAGAGTTAGTGGGGTAAAAAAAGATAAAAGTGTTCTTGAAGTAATGTTTGAAATCTGAAGTAAAAGATCTAGGTTAGGTAAAATGTTCTTTCTTTTTTATTTTGGAGGCTGTGTATAAAACCTGTTACTCTGGATGAGATAGTTCGTCAGTGTTGATGGAGAGAGAAATTGTTGTTCGGTAGACACAGTTGCTTTCATCCAACAGTTGGTGTTTGTAGATTGGTAATGACATTAAGGTAGTGTTCCAGAAGGTACTAGGTGGTGCCTAGGCGCTGGAACAATGCCTGGGAGGTGCTGCTAGGCACTCTAGACGTTTTTATTTTTCTGCAAAAAATGACAAAATAAAACAGAAAAAACTAAAAATTAAATGAAACTTTTGTGAGGGCCCCTTTGTTTGAACTAATAACCTGCAAATTGCAGAAAAGTAACCAGTTTCTTAGTAGTGTGATCAGCATGTAATTTTATACCAAATCCACAATGTGGTTCTTGCATGATGGTTCTGTTAAACTCATTTTTATTTTGTTCCTGATCTTCATGTAATTTGGGGATTTGAACTTTTGTTAATTGGGCAAGTCTTGGTTCAGAACTTCCCTTAAAGATATTGGTCATGTATATCTACAGGTCATTGGATTAAATAATGTTCCAATTGCTGGTGATGAATTCGAGGTTGTTGCTTCCCTTGAAGTTGCCCGTGAAAAGGCAAAGGCATGTGCAGAGTTACTTCAGAAAGAACGTATATTGGCCAAGGCTGGGGATGGAAAGATCACACTTTCTTCCTTTGCTTCTGCAGTCTCTGCAGGAAAGCTCTCTGGAATAGACTTGCACCAACTAAATATCATTTTGAAGGTTGATTTACAGGTATACAGCTTGTTTTTTGCTAAGACATTAGCTTTTTAAGGTTTTTAGTTTGTTGCTTTGTTCTTTTGAGATTTGATTAAATTTAAATATGTACATAAGAAGATTTTTTTCCCTTTTTACTGTGATGTTATTGGAGGGTGCACCCACTCAGTAAGTGAAATTATGGGGCCATGTGGCATAGCTTTTTCTGAGACTTGCTTATGAGCAAAAATTTCAAAGTGTTTCTCACTTGAGTTTGGAAAATTCTGGAGGGAATGTTTGCTTTTTAGCAAAACAGTGCTAAAAAGCAAGTTTTGGAGGAAGCATTGGATTGTTGCTTTTCGCAAAACTTGCTTATAAGCAACTTTTTCCCTAAAAATCAAGTTTTCCCTTCAAAATTTTTCGAAACAAAAGTGACAGATTTGAAAATTTTGCTAAAAAGCAACAGTAGAAAGAGCTTTGCAAAACGGCCTCCATATACAATGATTAACCTACATATGCTAAGTTGCACAGATAAGCTACTAATTATAGTATTAGACAACTGTTTAAAAATGTTATATATAAGTTCATGGGACACTGAAATTCAGAATTTTAGCATGAGTTGATTTTTTTAATACTTGTTAATTTGTCATTTCCTTCTTTTAGCAGATAGACAGCTTACAGATGCATGAGAAAATGCCCACTACTGCACTTGTTATTTTGCATAATCTGTTTTTTGCTAGGCTATTTTCCATCCATGACCCTTTTTTTTGCGTTATCTAGTTGATTGAACCTTGTGTTGCACTGAATTGATTGATGGAGAGGCCTTAGGCCCTTAGCAATATGCTTGATATTATCTTTTGTTTTTACTTTATGTTAGCATTAGCATTTATACACACAAATGGAAATGCTTGCTTCAACTTTCTGAAATGCTTTTAGTGTGTGACACTGAATATTGATAGTCTGTACCATTAAGTTTCGTACTCTGCTTGCTAGTAAATCATATTATCTTTGCCTGAGGTAGGGATCTATAGAGGCTGTCAGACAAGCACTAAAAGTTCTACCCCAATATAACGTTACTCTAAAGTTCCTCTTGCAAGCAACAGGGGATGTAAGCACCAGTGATGTTGATCTTGCAGTTGCTAGCAAAGCCATTATGTTGGGCTTTAATGTAAAAGCACGTGGCTCTGTTAAAAGCTATGCAGACAAAAAAGGTGTTGAGATTTGGCTATATAGAGTTATCTATGACCTTATTGATGATGTGAGGAATGCCATGGAAGGACTTCTAGAGCCTATTGAGGTTAGTTGAAAATCTGTAAGTTTCTGTTGTTACATTACAATGTTGGGGTGCCAGGTGTACTGTGAACATTCAAGTATATGAAGGTATCTTGTCCACCTTTGTCAATATCTACTGTCAAATCATTTCAAACCTCTAAGTTCTACATGAGGAAACATATTAGCAATTAACATATTTCATTTTTTTTTGAGATGGGTTGAATTTTTGAAAGTCAGGCAGCACATTATGTTTGTGATGAGTTGTTAACTTCATTTTTTTCAATCTGCTTGGAATCAACTTTTTGGATTCATTTTCTTTCTCTTTGTATATGCTTGTATCTTTGGCTGCACCCTCTTTTAAACCTTGGTCCTCGCAAGTTGCCCCTAGCCCCCATTGTCAGTCATATTTGCCCTTTCCATTCAACTTTTGATTGAAGTTTATGTAGTTTATGTAGTCAGTGTTGATTTAGTCAGAATAGTTTATGTAGTTTATGTAGTCAGTTTTATACCATTCCTTTTATTGTCTCCATTAGACTGCCTTAGAAGAATAGTTTATGTAGTCACTGCTGATGTAATCCTGGAATCTCCTTGGGTTCAGTCTTTGGATTCTGGATGCATGGAATGTTCTTCATTTAAGATAGTTGTTCAAAATTTTCATGTCAAAGATTAACAATTGAAGGTTATTACACATATGTTGATAGGAGCAAGTGGCAATTGGCTCAGCTGAAGTCCGAGCTGTATTCAGCAGTGGCAGTGGTCATGTTGCTGGCTGCATGGTAACCGAAGGAAAAGTAGTGAAAGGATGTGGCATTCGGATAGTGCGAAATGACAAAGTAATTCATGTTGGTGTTCTTGATTCGTTACGACGGGTCAAGGAAATTGTGAAGGAGGTATGATTCTGATTCCAGCACCTCTTTTCCTTTCTGTGGCATTATGATTTAACATCTATACAGTATCTTATTACTTTCTTTCCAAGCTTACACATATTTGATTTTTTTTTTTTTTTTATTGTCCTCATCAAACATTTGTGGACTCATATTTTAGTTCTGCTATTGTAAAGTAATAATTGACAACTATATTTTATGATATGGATGTAATTGATTTGAGATTTTGCCCTGTTGTGTTATTGGATGAAAAAGCTAGTAAATGATAAAAGGATGAAATTGCACTAGGGAAGCCTAGACAAGCTACGTTGGTTTTTAATTGTTTCCCTTTTTTTATTTTAATTGTTTCATTTACTTGTTAGATTCATATTAGCTGAAGAGACATTTGAAATATAATGAAAGTATTAGTTTCCTTCTTCTGGTTCACCAATGAATCATTGAATGAATGGACAATAGTTACTTCTTGTTATAACTGAAAGCTTGTTTAATACCTCACTCTGTTTCTTTTATATAAATTAGTGTGAAAATGTAAGAAAAAGGGAAATTTTCTCCTGTTGAGAGTTGAACGTCAGTCTTTGAGGTGGTTCAAAAAATCACATAAATCACATGCATTTTCGTTTTGGCAACATGTTGTCACAAGCACCAGAAACTAGAAATTATGGTTGTTGGAAATTGCCATTTGTTGGTTTCCATTTTTTTCAGCAACCAACCACTTAAGACGTTTCTATTTGGTGTTTCCAAAAATTTTAAAAAGTCAACCAAAAACCAGAAACCACAGCAATACTAGACAGATTCTTAATTTGTAGGATTGAATTAGGTGGTTGATTTATGGTTGATTTGTTACCATATCTGTTTTAAGGGGGCCTTTTGTGAATCAAATTTATTAAGTGCATGAGCTATGGAATGTTTAGATTTTTGAGGCAGACCAATATTTCAACCTATTTTTTTACTACTTAGGCAATAACTGGAAATCGTTGTTCAAACTCTCTGCTGAATACTGTTATTTTATTCCAGTTGAATTCGTTCAATATATATTCAGAATTTTTTTTGGTATTGGGATTTTGAATCTATTTGGTCAGTTTTATTATGTACATGAAGGCACTTGTTTCAGCAGAAAGTAGAGATTGCCTTTCATTGCTTTTTGCCTGATCCTCCTCTCTTCCTCCTATTTTACTTCAGACACTCCTTTTGCTATATAGAATTTTAGAGCTTGATTTCATGAGAGGTTTGCATAGTCTCCTCTTTCTTTTGAAGAAAACTTTTGTTTGCCTTCTGAACAGGTAAATGCTGGATTAGAGTGTGGTATTGGGATGGAAGATTACGATGATTGGGAGGAAGGTGACATGATTGAAGCCTTCAACTCAGTTCAAAAGAGGCGGACCCTTGAAGAGGCATCAGCTTCAGTGGCAGCCGCATTGGAAGGAGTAGGTATTGAATTGTAGATAAGCACAGTATTACAAACTGGCATCCTTGATTTTCCCAATGGAATCAATGTTTCCATGACTCAAGGCATTCCATCCTACTAGGGTTTTGACATAGCAAGTATGATATGAAAGCTTCCTCTGCATGCAATTTATTTAATCAGGCAGAGTGTTGAGATTCAAGGCCTCTATTTGATCTCTTGTCTGTATACTATTTTGTTGTATATAATAGCATTGCTCCAGCTTCCTTGCTTAAACACCTCGAGTTGGTGGAGAACATATTTTGTAACATTGCCACAGAAAGTGAAGGAATAAGGGGGAACAATTTGGAACAAATATTTTTCAGAAGATGCTGCTAATTGGATGCATCTCTCTGTTACCCTGATAGAACTATTCATGTAGTTTCCAATTCATTGATTTATTATCTATATCATTATATTATAATTTCAGATTGAATACAAATCAAATCTGTCATGATATGAAAAGTCCAGATCTGAAACAAGCATCAAAGCTAGCTAGAACATCATACCCAAAATCCAACTTATTGGAAATGTTGTTACATGACGGTACTGGCCCTGACAAAGGGCCGCCATATCTTCCACATTCCGCCTGTGAAACAAAGACCCAGTACCTGATTGGTTTATCGGCCTTCGGCAAAAGATTATAGAGAAATACAGTTGTTGTCACTGTAAAGTGGCAACAAGATTAAGTGATAACCAGATTTTGTAGAGTTGGGGCCAGTGGATCTGGTGGGATGCTCCCTGGTGCAAACTTGCAAAATAGACAGGCATTAGTGCTTAGTGGAAGACTGGAGTTGGTCTCTGTCTACGTACCTAAAGGATTCATGCTAATTTTTTGGGAATGGGCTTCAAGGAAAAGACCAAAACCATTTTTTTTTTTTTTTAACGGCAAAGGAAAAGAGCAAAATGATACTAGGAGAAGAATGGAGAGTGCGAGCAAGAGAGAATAAGTGGAGAAACTCCATAATCATTACCTTTACCTTGTAACAATAATGCCCTTGTTCAACAAACTATCTTTTTTTGATGAACTTAGTAAGTAAACTATCTAACAGCTACTTGTCAATTTTTCCAATTTGACTTGCGACTCAAGCTAGGTGATACAAGAATTTAACAACTGGTTGTCTCTTTTAGAGGCTTCGCCTAATATAAGAAATAGAGCTTGTATTAAAACAATAAAATTGATATTATATGTGAATCTCTATCTTGCAGCACCGATAGTTAAGACAAAAGCATATTCTATAATACTAAATACAAATGAAAATTATGCTTATAATGGATATAAATAATTAAGTATAAAAATTATAATAGCAATGGTCATAAAGGTATAACTAGAGCTACTAACATAAAAAGAAAATCGTTATGAGCATCTTGAGTTATTATATATTTTCAACTACTATACCAATTTCTTGGGGAGAGTCACTAGTTTAACAAATAACAATCCCCACCCATTGAATCTTGCCCCAAAGAGAAGATGTACTAGTCCAAAAGGGAGTTGAATCTCCTTCATGGATCATTGAAACCATGCCTAAGTTCAAGTCTCTTTAAGTCTCCTGACCATGTCACCAATAATTGAAGTAAGTGCTACAACTAGTTCATGCTTAACTAACCCCTTCACCTCATTGTCTTCCTCTTCAAATTGAGGGAAAACTCAATGAAAAATATTAAGAGAGTGAAGGAAAGGACTCTCAAAAGAGGAAGACAAAAGAACCCCACAAAAAAAAAAGAGAAATTCACAAAAAGAGAGAGAAACTCCTATCTTTATTCATTATTCTACTTGACCATCAAGGAGGAGAGAGGCAACAACTAGGGAGGAAAGAGAAGCAAGGATTGAGGGAGAGCAGTTGGGAGGGAGAGGAAAACAAAGGGGTTAGGCGACTAAGTTTTCACACGAACCTAGAGTCCTGCTTAACTCATTTATCTTTTTTTTTTTTTTCTGTACAAACTCATGTCTTTTTTTTTTTTTTTTTTTTTTAATTTTAGTGTTGGGCTGTCACAGGCCAATTGTCCCAGGCCAATTTTAAGTATTGAACCTACATGAGGGATCGCTGATCC